ATTTTTTATTGTTTTAAATATAATGCTATATCTTCAAAATCAAAGATGAAAATCTCGAATCGTGTTTCACAGTTTCATTTCCTCGCCTTCAAAATTCAATTCAAGAATGTAATATTTAACTTTTTTCATTTTGCTTGTGGGGTGTGATTTCTTTCAAAGTTTTACATTCGTAGTTCAGTCTCACCTAAATGTTGACATGATATTTTCATAAATGTTCGAGAATAAAAAAAATTGTATATTCAGAGTAAAATGAAAATATTATGTAGATATTATATTATTCATTCTATCAGATTTTCATCGACATTAAGCCATTCTTAGGTAACCTGGAATAACTTTTCCAAACACTTATTCCACTTTATTTTACCTTCCATGATCATAATTAGGACAGAAATTTAGAACTCCATTCAGAGATCTCGAAATAACCTCCCTCAAACTATTCAAATTCAGCATTATTTCAATTAATATATTCGCAATATGAGAGAAATATCAGATTTTCCAATTGGTCATGAAATAATTCATATTATAACTATTCCAAAAAACTATTTCTCTACAGATCTACTATTTGAAAAATTGATTTTAAAAGCCATATATATATATATATATATATATATATATATATATATATATATATATATATATATATATATATATATATATATATATATATATATATATGTTTGTATATATAATAGGCTATATATTATATATAAAATCAAAACATCAAAACGTCAAACTTATTTTTCAGAAAAAAAAAATAATATACAAAAATTAAAATACAATGAAGCTCTTGACATTGAAAATAGCCCGTAATTGCTGAAATAAAATAGATAATAAATAAGTTTTGAAATATATATATATATATATATATATATATATATATATATATATATATATATATATATATATATATGAATATATCAGAAGAAATTTTTGCATTTCATTTCCCAAAAAACCGAAAGTCCGATGTATTCCATAGTAGCATCAGAAAAAATATTACAATTACTGATCAGTTTTAAATAATTTAGGAAGTAGTATATATAAGTTTGAAAGGATTAAAATGAATTTTACTATGTTACTATTATAAACATTAATTATAACACAACCTTGATAGGTTTCGAATTAATATCCATCGTCAACATAAGTCAGTTCAGGTACCATTCACACTTGCTGAATTGGGATATTAACCCAAAAAGTTTATGATAGTAATTTTGATAAACCCAATGATAAACTATCATAAATCTCCACTAAATTCAATTTCATACACATAATTAGCTGACATTAAAACTGATGAAAGATGCAATCACTTGTAAAAAGTGAATCAGAATATACAAGATGAACCTAACTTTCCAAGTCCTGCTTTCAAAAATTACTCCAATTTCATTTTCCATACAATTAGATATGAACTCCAGATGAACTTTTCTGTTGAAAAAGCAGGAATATTTTTCCCAAGGCTTGTTAATTAATAAATATTACACTTTGTGTCGACTTCTAAATGAAGTAGTTAAAATGAATAATTAGGGCAGAAACTTTTCCGCATGAAAAACCCAGTTAACATCCGATTCGAAGGGAAAACGTATAAAATATACCGCACGCGAGAAAATGGGAAAGCATTTTACTTGTCGCCAGCTTATATTGTTCCATGTTCTTGTTGGGAGAACTCACCTTGTGAAAAGTTCCAATTAAAACCCCAACCGAAATTTTTCTTCACATTTTTCCACTTTTCTAACTTCCATCAATTCACTTTCTCAACATTGCCACACACCTCGATTTGTCTCTAGTGGTTATACAGCAACCTTGCGGGGTATCCGGATGTTTACGGGTCGGCGCTTTTCCGAAAAACATTTTCCGAAGTTTTCCAACGCGTTTGCCATCGTGAAAATTACGCCCTGCTCCGCCGTGTTTGGCGCGATACTAAGGCCTCTATTTTAGATTTCAAAAGCAGCTTCTGAAATAACGGGAGTTGCGCTAAAAGCTTTTGCGCACTAGTTCTAAACTGCACGGATAGCTAAATCGAGCTGGCAAAAAACTGGAAAATACTCTATTTTCTTAAATTTTATATCATAAAAAAACCTATAAACAACAGAAGAAATTTTTTTTTCATAAACAATCAATTTTCAAAAATGTGAGAATTCATTCCTTGAGATGAAATACTAATGAGAAGATCATGATGATTATATAGAGATACGAGCATAAAACAGTTTTCTCGATTCATACAGAATGTGAATTTCAAGAATAAAGTATTCATCATAGAAATCAAACAAAATTAACACCTGACATAGAAAATATATACTGTAGGAGAGCTCCAAACGTGTAGGTATCTCTTAATCAAATATATGTTGCAACACTTAATTGAATAATATTTTATTATCTTGAGTTGGTCCATGAGCATTTGTTATAGCCTCAAGACTAAGCAGATTTATTTCAGCTCCACATAAATCATTTGGACTTTTTATCTCTCATTGTCTCATAATATACCCAATCCTGAATTCTTATGGGCACTGTAAGTTTATGTAAGTTCTCCATATTATGATTTTCTTACATCGAATACTAGAATATGCACATGTTACATAAAAAGCTTGCTTTAGGCATACAAATATGCATGAAAATTGCCGGTCTCCGTAGCTTAGTCGGTAGAACTCCCGACTATGGTGCGGTAGAACTCGGGTTCGAGCCCCGAGAAAACCCCTTTGTGTGGTTTGTGTTTGTCTATGATTTAAGTAGTTCAAATAATGAAATATGCTGGGTAATGTAAATCCATTACAAGCTCAATGGCCGTTCGGAACCGGTGTTAAACTGTAGGTCCACTGAATTAAAAAAATAATAATAATGTATGAAAACTTATCAAAAAATCAGTTGAATCAAAATTTATCATATGATCAGAAAATCATATGATAAATTTTGGGCAAATTGATGATTGATGAGGCCGATACTTGGAGAAAATTAATATCCATGATGAAACAACATTTAAAATTTTCTCATAATTTTAATACAAAAAATAGGCATGACGACGTTTCGAAGTACTACTTCTTTATCACATGCTGGATTAATACTGAAATAATTGATATAATACATAATATGATATAATATAACTGATAATACAGTGTTAATGTAGCATTTGATAAAAAGTATTACTTCGAAACGTCGTCATGCGTGTTTGTATTAAAATTATGAGAAAATTCTAAATATTGTTTCATTAAATTATAAATTTTGGCACCCAAAAAACCAAAATCTTAATTTTTTTCATTTCAAAATCAGCATACAATTAGTAAATTATCCTCAGATAGTCGATCATAGGTAACCTTACACAAAACAGTAACATTACATGACATTCAAATTATATGGCGGTTTTTTAAGAGTCAATAATCGAGTATTCGCTTAGTAATCAAGTTCCAAATGTTCTTCTATCATACAGAATATTTTCAGAACAGCTTGACACAAATATTCAAAACCTGGGTTATTTTACAATATTTTTTGAAACCAGAGTACAAGGAAAAAAACGACCAAAGTAACAATTATTATTATTCAATAGTTCTTAAATATCGATATCGTGGCCGATGAATTTGATCGGATTTACAATATTATCACTTTTATAACATTTCGGAACGCAGGAGAAAACATTAGACTCAGAAAAAATTATGAATGTACTGATAATATGCACCATAACTAGATATTTGGTAAATAATGCTATTACAGCTGAGAATGGTTAAAATATGCATAAACAAATATTCAAATGCATATAATCAGGACCCAATTTATTACATTGGAAATTACTTTTCCTGATAAATTCATACTACGATATTCCTCTCTTTTTGTGTGAATAGTTTTTTCCTGGAGATATCTGTTGTAGGAGGTTTTTTCTCATATATCCCCACGTAACTACATATCGATATCGACAGTTTCTTTATATCTCAAAATATAATTTAACATATCAAATTTTTAGATGCCTATAGAGTAAAGTGAAGATACGATAACGAATAATATAGCTGTAAACTATAGAATCTCAGTTTTCTATCACACCATTAAACGATTTTCATTCCACAGAAGAAAAAGTGTCTATTTACGCTCATCGTAAAAAAGAAACAAGGGGTATAACGGCAAGAGGTTCATTAAATAACTTCCGAGCATAAATCGCATCATATAAAAATTTATAATGCCACTTGAAATTAATAGAAGCCAATTATCCGTATTTTTATTTCGACCTCCAAGTTTCCGGAGCTGCCCTTGCGTACATTGAAAAAGGTGCTGCTTTCCTGATAAATGAAAACAAAAAGAAATGAGTATTTCTTTCGACAAGAGGCGGCCGCACAGAAGTACGAGTTAGTCCAAAGTTGAAATGACTCACATGGATTGTTCGGGAAGTTCTTTCGCTACAGAAGTTTTTACTGGTTACTCAGTTAGTTCTGGTCATTAGTTTATCAATTTAACCCATTCTATTTATTCACTTTCGTGGTATACACGAATGAATTTTAATTCGAATGCAGTTTCATGAAGCAGCAATTCATAATCAAAACTTTTCAATGTTTGTTTTGTAGAGAACAATTTTATTACGCTTTTCTTTTCAGTGTTTGTTTTCGACAGAACAATCATTTTCCCTTCAGCCCATCAGATAGAATTTTGACATTCTTGAAACCACGTCAACTTTTTTCAACCACGTCAACGTTTTCGTTTGTTTTCTTCATTTGAATTAGGAAGTGAATTAAACCTAATTAAACCACGTCCCTTTTGATTCGGAAAAATTCATGTTACCAAAAACTTACTAATTCTTGTTGAATTTTTGGCCAACCAACAAGTTGATGACAAAACCAACAGTTTTGATGAAAAACATAATTTCCTGTGAACAAAGTCTGAACATTTTTATTTTACAAATTTTATGATAGTTTATCATCAAGAAAAATACCTTTCATTCAATTACTAAGCGAAAGTTTTGAAATTTCAAATCTACCTAACACCAAGAAGGCACATTACTGGTGCTTCGTTCTCGTTGACAACATTTGTGTACGGTCTCTGTAGATTAGTCGGAAGAACACCTGACTATGGTGCGGAAGAACACGGGTTCGAGTCCCGCTGAAGGCATGGGTGTTTGTGTTTGTCTATAATTTAAGAAATTTAACATAATGATATATGCTGGGTAATGTATATTGATAACAAGCCCATTGGCCGTTCGGAACCGGCGTTAAACTGTAGGTCCAATGAATTGAAAACATTTGTGTAGACAGCCTCCTGAGAGTTTTATTTGAAATATTTCGATCATTCGATTAAGAGTCTCATAATTTACTAGTATAAATCATTTGTGAATCTAGAAACTAGCTAGATATACTTCTGCCCGCCGGGGCGTGATCTGGAGCGATTGGGCACGGGACTATTCTTACACATTGCGGACAGTTTTCTGTAGTGTTCGAATGAAATGTCTACAAAGCCTTACACTCGCGCTACTGTTGTCATGACTAGAAACCTAGAACGCTAGGAAGAGTTTCTACGTCTTTTCTTCGATAGAGGGAGCTCACGTGAATTTTCACTGAGAACAATTCCCTCAATCTGGTATAGGCGTTTTGAAAGTAATCGATTCTTGATTCATTTAACAAGATCGATGAATTTTTCGAAACGCTCTTAATATTCACTATCGAAAGTGATGGGTTCGTTCTCGTTGCCATCATTTGTGTAGATATCTCCCTAAGAGTTTTATTTGAAATATTTCGATTAAGTAACGAATTTCGATTAAGTAAATACTGACTCTTAATCGATATATCGAAATATTTCAAATAGTCGTAAAACTCACATGGAGCTACCTACACTAATATTGTCGACGAGAACGAACCTATCTCTTTCGAGAGTGAATCTACGCTTCGAAAAATTCGAGGTTTTTTTGAAATATTTCGATATTTCTATTAAGAGTCTCAGTATTTTCTAGTATGAGTGATTTGTGAATCTTGAAACTAGCTATATTTTTGGCCGCCTGGGCGTGAAGCGAATCGCCTGAAGCGATTAGGCATGTGACTATTCCAACACATTGCAGATAAATTTCCGTTGTGCTCGAATGAAATGTCTACAAAGCCTCTATGTTCTCTTACTAATGTTGTCATGAGTAGGAATCTAAAATGCTGGGGAGAGTTTATACGTCTTTCCTTCGATACAGGGAACTCACGTGAATGTTCACGACGTAATGTTCTCCTCAAACGGATATAGGACCTGTGGGAGTTTTGAAAGTCATCGATTCTTGATTGATTGATGAAATAAGGACTGATGATTCATAATTACGATGAAACAATTGTATCCTTTTATCATTCAACAATAAAAATGTAAGATTCTCAGTATGTACTATAAAAATATAGAAATAATATATATATATATATATATATATATATATATATATATATATATATATATATATATATATATATATATATATATATATATATTTCAGAGTACCTATTTCTCACAAGAAAGATCTTTACTTTCATGTACTTACGAGGAGAAAGAAGATTAAATATTTTCTTCTGAATATATTAATAAACTATACATAGTCAAACTTCAATAATTTTTTTAATAGATTAAAACACCTGTTGAAAATTATTGAAATTTAGATTTAAACATTAGTTTCGTCTTCCACCACATTAATGAGTGAACATCTTAACTTCTTATATAGAGTGTTTTGTGTCAATAAGTAGCAGCCGCATATTTAGGTTTGCCAGATATCTGGGAAATCCAGGATTCTCCCGGCCTTTTGTGACTTGCCCCGTGTGCAGTAATTAGAGCTCATTTTCCCGAAATACGAAAACTACTTGTTTTCTAACAGGATAAACTATCTACGGATGACACGGTCTGTTTTGTTTTTTGTTTCTAATTCCAATTGCCTCTAAAAGGTCTAAACGTTTCCCTTTATTACCTGCGTGTAAGTACTTGGTTTTATCAAAGTCTATAAATGACTGATGTTTTATTATATTAATATTCTATGAAGATTGACGATCTATCAAAATAGAATTAATTTCATTCTAATATATTAATTATTTCATATTGTAAACACCAAAATACGAGAAGGTCGTGAATGAAAAACGTGAAAATGTAAAACCTATTCACCTCAAACTGTCGCATTCAAGAAACAAATACCCTGAAATTGCTTCTGCTCCAAGCTACTCTGAAAAACTCAGATCTCGTCCCACTGAAATAGCGTTTATACCTTTCTTTTCTTGCTGCCAACAGAAGAGCCTCTTATCTTAAACCGCAGGCACAAATAATTGTGGCACTCCGAAGCCGCGAATTATGGTAAAGAAATGATTAATTTGGGGAAAACATCGCGCTAAACTTTTTCCGTTTCTAAGATAGCTCGCATCTTCGAGGGCATTGTTGGATGGATAAAGAAGACACTCCGCATTGTCCTGGCGATGAATGGCTGTTGAAATGATCCAATGATAGTTCCACACTCTGAACAAGTCTTTCCAACGAAACTGTGGATTGGGAGTGATTTGTACGGACATTTTTGTCATAGTCTTGTGCAATTTTCAGTTGGAGATATATCTATGTAAACAAAAATATATGTTTGTATTTTTTTCCGATATTCGTCATCGCTCAATTCGATTTGTACTTTACTAGAACTGACACGAATTTTTCTGGCGTACAAAATCTAATAGAAAATATGGAATTTTATTCTGCACTTGGAGCATAGACATAAGTTGAGAATATTTTGAAATAACTTTGACTTATTTGAAGACCAGTTAATCAAAAAGAATTTGTTCTTCTAATAAAAAAAAATTATTTTCAATTCCATATGAAATAATAAATTGGACATTTCCCAATAAACATAGGTAATGTTTAAACATATGTATCCCCATTAAATTTATGTAGCATTACAACGCATTCGTGGCAGATGAGGAATTTTATTGAAAGGAAATTTAGCAAGAAAACTGAAAAAGTACTATTATATACGAATATATATATATATATATATATATATATATATATATATATATATATATATATATATATATATATATATATATATAAGAAAATGAACACTAGAACATTCATTTGAAAAATTGAAATTAATCAAGAGAATGTTATAGTAGAGCTAGATATGTGAACGTGTACGATGTGATGTCTCCATTATCCTTCAAGGGATAAATGTTAGAGAAATATTGAAATCGATGCCATACCTGATGGAAGTGCGAGACATATATGTTTCGTTCTGCAAGGAACTCGTCAGTCGCACCACATCCATCGAAGTGAGGCAACGAATTCAACCTCCAAGCATCTGCTTGTGACTTCAAGCGGAAGATCGTAGAGTAATGAATACTCTACAATTCCATCTATAGAAATCAGTAGAAAACACTTCTCTCACTTTACAGACACATCAAGCATCAAAATTTCACATATCTTCTATACCCGTAGGTATCTCCTAAATTTCAATGTCTATTTGAGAAATATCATCATACGATGTTTTCAAATGTCAATAGGTTGCGTTAGTAGTACACTCGCGTTTATTCCCGTATTTCAGGGGCCTATTCGGCGATATTTTCAAGGAGATGAAATTTTTTTGTGCTTATGGCACTGAATGACATATTCAAGAAAATTAACACAAGAACATTCATTTGAAAAATTGAAATTATTCAAGAGAATGTTATAGTAGAGCTAGATATGTGAACGTGTACGATGTGATGTCTCCATTATCCTTCAAGGGATAAATGTTAGAGAAATATTGAAATATTGAATATCGATATATATATATATATATATATATATATATATATATATATATATATATATATATATATATATATATATATATATATATATATATATATATATATATATATATATATATATATATATATATATATATATATATATAAAATTAATTAAAAATATATAACTATGATAATCCTTTCAAATGTTTGAGCACATTTCCAACTTGACCAAAGAGTACCTCTGAGTGCTAACGAGTGTTTGGATAAATACTTATTTGTGGCAGGGTGATTTTTTGATTTATCTTCGGCATTTGATTCGATATCCTTTGAATTTTTACTTGATAAATGCTTCAATTCGGGTTTCAGAGGCGTTTTTCTGGATTGGTTACGTAGTTACCTTAATGAAAGAACAATGGTAGTGAGAATGGGCGAGATTCATTCTAAGAGACATGATATTGCTCTTGAAGTGCAGCAAGAGTCTGTACTTGGACCTCTTCTATTTATAGTGTTTGTGAACGATCTGCCTGCGAAGTTATCTGCTTAGTTGATCCCAATCAACTAAGTTCCTTGGAATATATGTAGACTGAAGTTTGAAAAGGACAATACGCATTGATGTTTTATGTAAAAAATTGAGTAACTCATTTTTTGTAATCTCTAGAATTAAGAACATCGTACCTAGAAACTGTGTTATGAATGTGTGTTACGTTTGTTTGTCTTGTATATAGTTAGCTAAATTATAATATTCATATAAATTATAATATTCGCTGGAGGGCTGCTTTACAAATAAATAGGATCTTTATCACACAGAAGCGAATACTTCGATTAATATTCAATATTCATCAGCGAACATCTTGTAAACCTATCTTCATCAATAATTACATACTCACCCTACCTTGTTTATATATTTATAGATGTTGTTATGATAAGTATTCAACAAGGAAGTGCTACTTATTCCTAAGCATGAAACAGCTAAATTTGAGCATTCACTCTAGTATCAGAGTATTAAAATCTGCAACCATTTACCGTCAAATTTCAAATCACTGAAAGCTCATTTGTTTACGAAGAGAGTTAATGTGTGAAGTCATTGATGTTAACAAAGGTATACTATAGTGTGGCAGAGTACTTCGATGTTTCAAATGTAGGGAATAATGAATGAATAGATTTTTTGTATTATATATTTATTTTTTTAATAGGAACATCCTTCACCATGTGAAATTGTCTCAAATGGTCAATATTTGTGGTAATTTTCATTACTGAGGTAATTTCTTTTTCTATTATTTTCAAATATAGTTGTATATTACTGTGAATGTAAACTGAACCAATTTTTTGGTTTGAACCAATATTTTTTTTGAACCAATATTTTTGTTCGAGGGGTGAATGGAAGATCAGACTCAA